ACTACTACCACTACTACCACCACTACGACGACGACTACTACTACCACTACTACTACTCCTCCTCCTCCTCCTCCTGCTGCTGCTGCTGCTGCTGCTACTACTCCCGCTGCTGCTGCTACCATTGCTACCACTAGTACCACCAATACCACTAATACCACTACAACCACCACTACCACTACTACTACTACTACTACTATTTCTACTACTACTACTACTACTACTACTGCTGCCCCTGCTACGTACCACGACTTTCGTCATGTCACCACCACCACCACCACCACCACCACCACCACCACCGCAACCGCCACCACCGTCGCCACCATCACTACCACTGCCAGCACCATCATCATCCAACATCTCTTGATTTGCCTGCGTGATCACTGCCGCTAGCGTCACAACCTTTACGAGAGCTGCTGGCATACTGACACTGTCGTGCAGTCACTAATCCTCTTATGCACAGCAGAGGCAGTGCTCTCGGCAGTGCCGTCTATCCTACGTGGTGCGAATCGAGCGCTTGCGACGGCCACACAGCAGCTTTTGAGGCTCAATCGTATCAAGCACTCGCACGCGTGCTGGCGTTCGCAAGGGGTCTTGAAACACCATGGAAGCCATGGATATGACTCCGCAGCTTGCCGATCTCGAGATTTTTCGGGTTTTCAGGGTTCTGTGTATCTGATCAGAAGGTTGTTCCTTCGACATGGCTCGGATTTATTGCTCGATTGTTGTGTGAGGGCCGTGGGTAGAGCAAGCCCTAAACAAGAAGGGGATTTTTCGATGAAGTGGATTTTTCTATAGTTCAGAGAAGACTAGCCTGGCCCACGTGCACCCACAAATCGGGAAGTGCAGCAAGTACCCCAAGTGGGAGTTGTGGGAGGCAAACAGTGCCGTAGAGAGTACTAATATAGGGACCTTAATAGTTAGAATAGGGTTTTGGGGCCCATTTCACAATAATGATATTAAGGAACCCCCCAAAACCTATTCTAATTATTAAGGCTCCTACATTAACACCGAGGCAGGATCGTCTGTACGACGCGGTGTCGGCTATCAACGAGGCCGGAGTGCTAGAGCAGGGGCCAACAAAAAATACAATAAAGGACAAGTGTTGTGGAAGGACCCTGAATCGCGCTTTACAAGATTTTTTTTGGGCTTTCTGAAGGCTTTCTATGTTTTCTTATTTGTTGTGCGGTTTTTGTACGGGTGTCTATTGGGGAGTCTTTCTACTTACCTCTATTAAGAGTCTCAACTATTTCACCGGGGGGCCAGCATCCCTAAACCCTAAATCCCTGAAGAACAGCAGGTAGTGGTGGTTTCAGTCTTGGTCGGAAAAAGGGGCCTAAAGGTTCCACGGGGTGGTGTAAGCAAGGCTCTAAGCACCGTAGTTCGATAGTGAAAATTCAAATGCTTTTTAGTGAGGTCTTTATCGAGGTGCTTCCAGGACTTTCTATAAACTAAACTTCATAAACCCTAAACCCTAATCCCCGGCCCTAAACCCCGAAACAAGGGGATCCCTTCTTTAAGAAGCCTGCGGACCCTCTTGGGTGAGGTGGCCAGCCAGCTGAACCGACGCCTCCAGACTGTGACACTTGGCCTGCACATTAAATCGTACTAGTAACGGCAAGAGCAGCCATCGTCACAGTCATAGTAATCGTATCAGTCGTAATGGAAATATATGGAAATAGTACGGGTAAGAGTAAGAGTAGTAGGTAGTAGAGATAGTAACAGTTGGCTCCAAAGTTACCGCAGAAGTAAGCCCAGAGCCTGGACTACTTGAGTACGGTTGAGGTCGGTACCTACATGAAATTTCCACCAAAAAACTAAGACCCGCAAGTTGTTATCTTAGAATAACAATGCATGTGTGTTGGCATCCACCGAGTCCATTGCTTCGATAGAAGAGTAACAGTGCGTCGACTCGTGAATCCGTGCTTGCCCTGTGCAAAAAAGTCTCTCTGTGTGTGTGTGTGTCGAAGCCTTTCACCCTCCAGTATAGGGTTCGGAATAAGTTCGTGATAGCATACCCTTACTATATAGTTCCCTTGCAGTAGTTGTTAAGACCCCAAAAGTAGTAGCCCCACTAACCGCCGATCCCCCAAACGTTAATAATGCACATGCCGGCCAAGGGAATGCACGGAGTCCGTGGACTTGGAAGACCCGCACAACATCGCGCAGATCGTCCAAGGAAGTTTGCAGAGTCGGCTCGCGCGCTTGGGTTTGTAGGGTGCAAGGGTTGGGTTTGGAGCTTTGGGTCTTTAGATTTTGGCTTTGGGGGACCACCACCACCGCCACAACTACTGCTTAACGTTGGTCTCTGCTGCAAGCTGACCCAACGAACCATTACAAA